CCCGCCTCCTTTTCCCCCTAGGTTAAAATGTAATAAAATTGTCCAAAAACAAGACAGCTTTTTATTAAAGATAAACGTTGACCACTGCTGACAACTGTATTCTCTTCCTGCCCAGTACCAAGACACTGAAGACTTCACGTTCAGCAGCAGCCTCCTGTGTACTCTGGTCATGCTGGTGCTGATCGCCGGCCTGCAGGTGATCATCCTGCCCAGGACGCTCCTACTCCTCATGATGTTCATCCTGGGCTTTGCTTGGCCCTCCATTGTACTCATCTTTATACTCAGTATCAAGCTGAAGGTAAGCAACTCCTTTTTACTTCATTCTTTAAAAATTAAATAAGGCTGTTATGATTGTTTCCCTTTACTCAAAATCAATCAGTCAATCATTGCCTTTCTCACCCTGGTACACGCACAAACACTTTCCTCCATATAGGCAAAGGCTTTTTTGTGCTGTTGTTGTTGCAGTCCTTTTTCTGTTGAGGTTGAGAGATACATGGTAATGAAATCATAATAGCAAGAATAGTTTTATTCGTCAAAGTGTCTGTAACTTTTTTTTTGCAGTCTATTGGTCAATCAGTGACACATGGGGGGTGGGAGGGGGGGAGGGGGGCGAGGCAAGGAGGTAGTGAAAGGAGAGTTGGGAGAATAGATTAAATATCGTACTGTATTTGAGAAATTTTTCAATGAGTCAGAATATGATTGGGAAGCAGAATAACTTCCAGGATGACAAATTCATTATGATATTTCATTATCTGCAGTGCACAAATTTTGACATTCGTAAGTCATCGAAACTACGAGTGTTCATTGCCACTACAACTGTGCTGATACCTTATCTCATGGTGCAGATCAATGTTGTGAGTATTTATATCCTTCTCATATTTTTGTTTTATTTATCTTCAAGTTTCATTTGTCACGTACTGTTTATAATAGCTTGTTATATTCATCATTTTGCATTTAATTGAAAGCACATGATGATGAGATTTTGTGAACTTGAAAACAGTCAAATTTTTGTTTAAAATGGAGTAACTGTGTTTGGCATCTAGAGAGAAGGTGACCGTTTTTTAATCTCTATTATTTCTGACTTTGCTGGTTTCTTGGTCTAATGTAGTTGATCTAATAATGGTGGAGGGTTTTTTTTTTCCTCATGTACTTATAAATAAAAATATTTGACATGAAAGTTCAAATGTTTTGTTAAAATTGTTCCTTTCTCTAAATTCTTTCATGGGTCTCCATTGTCTGATATATAAATGGTACTGCAGTCTGAAATTCTTTTTTGAAAGGACCTATCAATTTGATTTATTGAAATCAGCTTTGCTTTATGACCACTAAATACTGTAATATCAAATATGTCACACACTGTTCTTATAAGCTTATCAGTCATAACTGAAACAGATTTTCCTGATGAAAAGGGTAGACCATTAAGGTTGACATTAACATGTAACTTTATTATCCATAGGCCTAAGTTAAAAGTTTTGTATTGGTGGCACTTGTAATTATGACAAATTGAAAGTTTGTATCATACAAGAGTGCTGGTAGTCAATCAAAATACAATCATAATTAAGATCTTTAAGTTCATTGTTAACACAAAAAAAGTAATTTTTAAGCAGCATTTAAGTTGCTATAAATGTAAACTTTTTTTCCTTCATATTATGTATTTTCTCCCTCAGCTCTGCTGCAGTGGAGGTCATGGCATTACATTTCTGGAAACCTTGAGCCTGATGAACAAAGATGAGCACTTGACCTGCAGTGACCCCAGTTACATCATTGTCAGCGGAATCCTCTGTTTTTTCCTGCTTTCACTCTTCATCAAGATCAACCCACTTCTCAAGATTGTGTTCATGGTCATCATAGCTGCTGGACATATTGTTGTCATGGAACTGACACACAAAACTTTATTTTACAATTTCGATGATATCTTGCGGTAAGGAGGCAAATATTTCTGTTCTCTAACAGCTGAAACTTTCCATTGTGCACCTTTAATACAATGCATATAGATATAATGATTTACGTAACTGAGAACTTAATAAACAAAGGACTACAAAATTTGCAGATAGTGAGTGTACAACAACAGTGGTATACAAGAGAGAAATAGAAGATGGAATGCCTGTCTTCTTTGTATGAGTATGTTTTTATATCACTTGATCATAATTTTTAGAAGGAAAAAATATTTCATTTCAGTTTCTCACATAAGCTGTGACATTTCTATTCCCAGTGCTCTGGTTCCCACCCATGTGCTCGGCATCCTGGCTTTCATTATTTTCCTCCTTGGGTTTACGCTACAGAACAGGGAGCAGGAGTGGACGCTGAGACTGGACTTTTTATGGAAGTCTCAGGTTTGTGAAATTGTATTAAATGGCACTGAAAATATTTTAAATTTAATAGATTTTACAGAGGAAATTTGTTTGTCCAAAAACTTGAATATTATCACCAGCCATCTGTTCAGTTGTATTAAGCCGAAAATCTTAAAAGAACTGGAAAACTTTGTCCTTCTGGTCAAAATCTCCTCTTGAAAAGAGGAGTAATTTGTAAAGCAGTGTGGTAAAACCAAGCACTCCTCAAAACATTGAAATCCAAGAAACTGGCGTTTTTCTGGGCTGTGGGCAATTTTTATTGAATTTTCCCTTTTTGGCTCAACATTTTTTATGTCCTTTTAAAAGCAGATTTCTGTGTCAATGTTACCAAAATCGTTTTTTGAAGGCATAGAATATTTTAATTTCTGGTTTCCACGGACACTCTAAGCTTTGGAAGTCACCAAACTTTGACAGCCATTTTTTCTCTAATTTTACCTCTCACACCCGGTGACTTCATCTCCTTCATTTGCGACTATGTCGACTTCTATTCACGATAGATGGGTTTGTTGGGGTTTTTTTGACAAATGCAAGACAGATAAACAAGCTTTAAAATGATAGTTATAACTCTATATCCCAAAAATTGACGAGAGCCTGATTCCACCACGCTGTGACACATTTTGATTAACAGTTGTTTGAAATGTTGTCAACAATTATGTTGCATTTTTTGGAGTCCTTAAATAATAATACATAAAAGGCTGATGGACCATTAGTTGTTTCACAGTTTATTTCCACATTATGCAATCATATCACCATGAAGATCATTCTACCAGTATCTATGATGAAACGTTTTTAACTGATACAGCCGGCATATAATGCTGACTCCGGACGCTAATGATTTGTGACTGCTTTGTAACCTCGCGAGTAGTCTCACAAAAAGTTAATAAAAAAATATCTAAATTTGATCAACACTATGTGTGGCATTTAGAAAAGTTCAGAATAAAAGATATTCTTCAATTACCAAAAAAAGGGTTGAAATGTAAGTGGTAAAGAAAGAAAAAAGAAGAGAGGAAAATGATGTGAAAAAAGGGAGCAATAGGTAAGAGCCTCCCTGAGTGGCTCTGCATCAAAACACTTGAGACTGTCAGCCGCTGTGAACGGCACTGCGGTTTGAATCAGTTAAGATAAAAGATCATTCTGTTGACAAATGTAGTACAGTTAGAAATATAATATATGCATCATCATGTTATCTTGTACAACCAACATTTATATCTGTATCTCTGATGTGATATATCCTTTTCAGTTTATTCTGGTAAGTCATACTGTTGGTCATATAAGCATTTTTATTATATTTATACTAATTGCATTTTGACATAAAAAGGTCTTCGGTCCTGAAAGTTTTTAACATTCCTCTTTTTATGTTATATTTTTGGTTGATTTCAGTCAATATAAAATATTGATTTTCTTTTAGATACATGATCATGTGGGTTCTTGGCCCCAAACCATCTAGTGAAAGAATCTTTGGACACCAGAGAAAAGTTTTCTAACCCTATGCAACTGTTTGCATGGACGTATGAATTAGGTTTAACAAACGAGAACACCCCTAAAAAGTACATTTACGTGTAGTTTATATTGCCATTAATTGCTATGAATCCTGATTCAGAGTGCATATGAATAAAATAGATCCATGTCCTTTAAAACGATATTTGATTATTGCATAGTAGTTTGTTAGTCAATGTTACCCACTAAGATACTGCCCTTAATTATTGGGACTGACCCTTGTACCCCTTTTTTAGATGTTAAAGCATGGAAGAGGAAAGGGGAAAGGAAGGGGGGGATAGCATTTCAGCATTGTGTTTGTAAAGGTCTTTGAAAGAGTAAGGAAAATGCTGACTCTGTAAACACATTCTCCAGAAGCAGTTTATAACGAATTTGTGAGCGTGAAATTTCCATAAAATATATTTCAGCATAAACAAAATACTGGCGTTGATTTTCTTTAATTCATGGTGTACAAGTGGTCAGATTTCAAGCCCGTTGATAAAAGGGTCACAATGAATGTTATGGAATGTAGATACCACGGTACTAAATTACAACTATTGTCCTGTAGTTGAAGGAGTTTCATAAAAATGTGGGGGGGCTGAATGAACAAGTTACACTTTGTTATGTAGGTTAATAAATTTACAATTGTATGTTAGGATGAAAGGAATATTTCAAGATGCACAATTTGTTCTCGCTATTCACCTTATTCGTCTTTCATTTCTGTTCCTCTAACAGCTATATTCATTTATCATACATGTCTAATTGTGTTCATCTTACTCTCTCTCTCTCTCTCTCTCTCTCTCTCTCTCTCTCTCTCTCTCTCTCTCTAACTCTGTCTCTCTCTCTCTCTCTCTATAACTCTGTCTCTCTGTCTCTCACTCTCTCTCTCTCTCTCTCTCTCCCTCACACACCCACACATATATACACACACACACACACACACACACACACACACACACACACACACACGCACACACACACACACACACACGCACTCAAAGACGCGCCCAAATAATGATAATAATAATAAATGACATTTAGATCTACATATCCCTCAACCCGGGTTAATGTACACAGGCCCCAAGTGCTTTACAATACAATACAACAGTAACATAAAACGTTGAGTTCTGACCAAAAAAAAATCTCCCTAAATATTCATCTTATCAATTTAAATTTAAAATCAGGAAAGACATCAGCTGAAATTTGAATGAGTCACAGGATTTGATCTCTCTTATACTACTTGGCAAAGCTTTCCAGATCTTGGGGCCTTGATATTCAAATGCCATTTCACCCATTATTTTAAGTTTCGTAGATAGTAAAAGAAATTTCTTTTTGTCAGCTAATGACCTTTAACTGTGAGTTGGAATGTACAGTCTCAACAGATTTGATAAATATGATGGTGCATCATCATTCAAGCATTTGTGACACAGAGTGGCCAACTTGTACATAAGCACACACACAAATGCACACAAACACTCATCCGACATATACACCTACATATATATATTATATACACAGAATGTTAAATCATAATGCTTTTATTCAAATTTTGTATGCGCACTAAAGCCACCTGAAAGATATTTATTCTTCTATCTTTAACTTTAATATCTGCCTTGAATTAAAATTTTTAATTCTTAAGAATGTTCTTTCACATTCAAATTCTTTGCATTGCAATATCTAACACATTTTGCATCATCATTTTATTTGAGGTCACATGGCATACCTGACTTTTCTTTTCCCGTTTATCTTATTATTCTACTATTTTTTTTGTTTATCAAGGTAACTGTTCATGATGCATGCAAACTGACACTACAGTAGATAACTCAAGAAACTTAGCTTGCATGAACAACACATATTATTTTTTTTTTTCTTGTTCAATACTGTTTGATCAGGTACATTGTCAGGAACAACCCGTCTGTCTGTCTGTCTGTCTGTCTGTCTGTCTGTCTGTTTGTCTGTCTGTCTGTCTGTCTGTCTGTCTGTCTGTCTGTCTGTCTGTCTGTCTGTCTGTCTGTCTGTCTGTCTCTTGCTCTCTCTCTCTCTCTCTCCCCCCTCTCTCTCTCTCTCTCTCTCTGTGTCAGTCATATTTGTCAGTCATATTTGTGAATATGTTTGTGTATGTGTTTGTGTATTGGTGAGAGAGAGAGAGAGAGAGAGAGAGAGAGAGAGAGAGAGAGAGAGAGAGAGAGAGAGAGAGAGAGAGAGAGAGAGAGAGAGAGAGAGAGAGAGAGAGAGAGAGAGAGAGAAAGAAAAAAGAGAGAAGAGAGAAAGAGAGGGGGGAGAGGGAAGCCCTTCTTTTCTTTGCCTAATGAACGTTAACCTAAAGCTGACTCTCTAGAAAAAAAGAAATAGTCCATAACTTGTTCGGCGTGTAGCAGCTGTCTATTGGAATGTGAAATTGTACTCATGTTATCTTCCTACGCTTCTTACCTCAAACAAGCTTACATATTATGTTTATATCCTTAGACTATGTATGACATAGTGTTGCTGTTATCTATCATTTTATGAGTGATATTCCAAAGGAAATATGATACAGATATGCCTGATCCAGGGACATGATTTTGGTACGCTGTATTTTTCAGCAGATGCAATGTATTTCTTTTTTTTATTTTTAGGAAAAAGAAAGTACCGTAATTCAGTATGCTTTGTAAAGGATTCATCCCTCTCTGTCATTTATACAGTTTATATCCTTTGCAGGGATTTATATAACTCTATGTCCCCATTTTTCAAAAATCGTAAGATGTTTATCACTGGAACATGGATTTGATACACATTGTTTAAGGCCATTGAGCTTTGAAGAAATTTTAAAAGCTGATCAAATACAAAATTTTTAATTTGTTTGTCATGGTATATTGCTATGAAAAGGGCCATGCCAAAGGCCTTGTAGGGTGCCTTACTCAAATTTTGCATTTGTATAATTTCTGTAGTCTTTCCCCTTTTCTCTATAGGCAGCGGAGGAAAAGGCAGGAATGCAGGAATTACAGAGGCAGAACTCTAGAATCCTGTGCAATCTCCTACCAGAGCATGTGGCCAACCATTTTCTACATTTGCAGACCAATAGTCATATGGTAAGACATACTCCATCTTAAGTTGAAGACTATCTAAATCTAGTGAGACTACTTAGTTTTAAGAATTAACTGCTTTTGTGTAAAAGAAAAAGAGATATAAAAAAGAAATTTTAATTTCTTGATTTCATTACAAATAGGAATAATTAATGAGGGAAAAAGGAAATATACTGTCAATGCATAAAATAAACTAAATTAAAGAAAGTGACAGAGAATCAAGCAATGAAATCTTCCATATGTACAAGTATATTGCCTGAAACATTTTGGTTTAATAATGGTTTACCAACAGTATCTTCCTTGTTTCTAACAAATTCATTAGTAAGAACCCAGTGTGTTTTTGGGGAGGTTTTGTAATAAATCATCTAACATTTTTTTCACAACTTTTTGCATGTTCAGGAGCTGTACAGCCAGCAGTACAATAAGGTGGCCGTGTTCTTTGCTTCCATTCCCAACTTCTCTGACTTCTATGTAGAGCTTGCAGCAAACAATCAAGGCGTAGAATGCTTGAGAGTTTTGAATGAGATTATTGCAGATTTTGATGAGGTAAGATCATATATTTTTGATACATGTATATTTTCTGTGTAATTTGGAAGTTTTTAATTCTCTGACCAAAAAAACCCAACTATTTGAAATATTCTAATTAAAGCAGTTAAAGAAGGTTTGGATGCTTTACGGGTTAATTATGAAATTTCTTAATGGAGAAATATGTTGACATAATGACAGATATACAGTACCTTACGGGGAGGAAACATATAACTAAAGAATGAAATTAAAGAGAAGGAAGTGATCAGTGAATGCCTCAACCACCTGCTCAGCTTTACTCAAATGACTGAAACAAATGGAGACATTGGCAATTTCAATCAGCCTTTTTTTTTGGCATTGTCCATTAAATCAAAAATCTTGTCGTGAAAGCTTACAGTAGAGTACTTTTATGAAGAGATTTTTCAGATTTTTGCATTGATGCATTGGTAACATTATCTCTAATGTTATTCTATGTCGTGTCCTTTTTCCTGCCCTGATAATTTGCTTTTCTCGTGATGGATGCAGCTCCTAGACATCCCATACTTCTATGGTGTGGAGAAAATCAAGACAATCGGGAGCTGCTACATGGCAGCAACAGGGCTCAAACCTACACATCTAGTCAAGGTCAGTATGTTTACTAAAAAACTCAATCTTGAAAACCCCACAGTTGCATCAACTTCTACATTATACTGAGCAATAAGTCTAAAACTTCGGAAATTGTATGTGCCTTTTGCTTCTGCCCAAAGTATGTTGCTAGTAAAGTTCTTTTTTATTCTTTTTGTATTTCAAAATGACAAATATCAGTGTAGACTCCACAAAAGGACATCATCGTAAAGGCTATTCTATTTTCTTTGGATGAAAAAATCGTATACTCTAACTCTAACAGCCACAGCCCTTTTCTAAAAAGTAGTTTATTGTTAATGGGCTTGCTTTGCCCTTTTTGTGTTATGATGCATGCAGCCTCATTGAATGCTCAGTATACTTTTGACACTCTCAGCTTAGCAAGAATCAAAATGAGCTGTTTTTCACGGAAACTATCTGAGTGTTTCAAGATTGATATTAAAAGTTTTCCCAGACAAATATTTTTGACCGATATATTTACACTACACGAACTCTTGTGTTTTGTGTTTGGTCATTTCTTGGTGCCTGTGATTTCAGACTTTAATTTGGTTTTATACTCATAATAGAGAGACTCGGATCGGTATGGTTCAAATAGATACACATCCGTCAGAACAAGAGAGAGGAAGGAAGAGATAGGAAGGAAGGGGGAAGAAAATAAATGTGATAGACAGCCACTTTATGTATGCTTTTACTATTATTGTTATTTGCACCCGGTTGATTATCAATATCAGGCCTTTCATGCAGCTTGTCTTCCTTTTAGATAAATTTGCATTTCTTCTGCTACTGTGAACCAAGGTTATTGCTGACAAAGCACTTTAAAAAAAAAAGTTTTAGAGTTTAGTACTTTTCAAAACTGAACTAATTTTTTTAAACAATAGTTATAACCAGAAGGAATATTCACATAGATCTATAACTTTGAATGTTTTTGATATGTCATTTGTGATTGTTTCCAGGGAAGAGAAGACTCAATCACCTTCTACTTGACCATGCTGGTTGACTTTGTCATGTCCATGAAAGAGAAGCTAAAAAATATCAATGAGAATTCCTACAACAACTTTGAGCTTCGTGTTGGTAAGTTTATCTTTTCAAGATTCTCTCACTCTCTGCTTTCTTTGAACGATATAATATGTGTCATGACGCGGAGGCATCAGGCGCTCATCAATTTTTAGCATATGGAGTTATTTGCATCATCTGAAAGCTGATTTATTTGCCTTGCTTCCAATGAAATAAATATCCACCAATCTTGAAAAGGACTCCAGATACTTGCGAATGAAGGAAGTGAGAGCGCCTGGTTTCAGTTGTGAAATTAACGAGAAAGTGGCCGCCAAAATTTGGTAACTCCAATAGCTAAAGAGTCCTTGAAAACAGAAAAATGACATAATTTGTACCTTTAGTCAATGTTTTTCAGTAAAATTCACGTGGAAAAGTGTATAAAGTATATGGACATAAAAGAGGTTTAGCCAAAAAAATAAAAATTCGATGAGAATTTCCAAACTGGCAGAAAAGTGCCTGTTTCTCCGATTTCTGTATTTTGACAAGCGCTTGATTTCACCACGCTGCCTCACGTATAAACAATATTTTCATATTTTTTACAACTCTAATATTAAAAGTAGAATTCATTAGTTGCTCAGTTTTGTTGTAATATCAGCAAAGAACCATTGAATTTCATCTCTTTAAAACTTTCTTTTATGTTAGCCTCATGGTAGACAAATAATGGCATGCAACCTCCGTTTTAGCCCTTGGTATTGGTATCAAAGATGACCCACTTGTGTACTTCCCTCCATGATAAACTTGGTATGCTACAGGCATCAATGTGGGTCCTGTGGTGGCTGGTGTGATCGGGGCAAGGAAGCCTCAGTACGACATCTGGGGCAACACTGTGAATGTGGCAAGCCGTATGGAGAGCACTGGAGTCTCCAGCAAGATACAGGTAAATACAACTCCCTGAACGATCAGTGTCTGATCTTATTATAGTGAGTGGTTAGAGGGCACCACTGCCGGGTCCCACTTTTTTTTATCCCCCCCTCCCCCGTTGTTTATCTTTCTGTCTATCTTTGTTTTCCTCCTCAGTCAATCACTATTGTGTTGATGTGCTTCTCATTATGTTAACTAATTAACTAAATCTCTGCACTTATGTTAACTTTTATTCCCATTGACAATAGCCTTGACCCCCTTGATCTACTGTTATGTAAAGCTTACAAGCTTCACATACGTACAAAATATATTATCAATGATATTGCTGTATAATTAATTATTTCTAAGAGGAGAGCACAGGTCGATGAAGTGTTACCTTCATGTAAGCACTACTTAGTACAGGCTAAACACTATTTCCATCAAAAGACTTGCTGCTTTGATTAAGCATGGTAATTCCCTTTTTTCAGTCTTCTTTTTTTGTTTACTTGCATGCTACAGTTATGTCACACATAATGTCTTTCAAGTTGAAACTTGCAACCCTGAAGGTTATTTATGCTTCACGCAAGCCTCAGTGTGGGGGGCCTTTGTGATATTTTGACCTCTATAAACTTGCATGAGGTTATATATTATCTTTGTGAATGAGAAAAGCGCAGGTGCATTTCCATGATTTTCTAATTTATATGTTGTCATAAAAATATTTCAGGTGACAGAGGAAGTGTATGCAGTCTTGAAAAGTGTGTTCACTTTTGAATGCAGAGGAAAGGTGCCTGTGAAAGGAAAAGGTGACATGATAACCTACTTTTTGAGGGAACGTCGGAGACCACGAGACCCAAGCTGCATCTTTCCGCCACCAACCCCACCTGAAAGCCCAATGGTGAATGGATCATCTTCAACACGCAGGTAGAAATATCAGCACTACATTGAGAAATAACCTCAGAACTTTTTTTTTCTTTTTGCTAGTCTGTCTGTACTTTCGTAAAGTATAGGCCTATAAAAATAAATAACTAACAGAGCTCAGATATCAAGAGCTTCAGCACGCTGTATATCATTGAAAATTCTGCTATTCTTTGACCTAAAAAGATCATTTGAAGGCACAGCCAGGGTGGTTCATTGCATCTTATCATTACTACATACATTGTCCCTTTAATAGAACTGTTGTAAATTATTTCTATCGTATCCATTCTTTTGAAATTTGTACCAGGTCTATTGTTCTTTCTTTCAAATACTTTTTGATTTTGTTCCACCCCAAATTCTATTTATAGTTTATATAACAAGATACTTAAAAAATTTTGTTCCAGGTCTGCTGAGAGTTTACCCTTGACTGCACCCAGCGCTGCAGCTGTCACACCCGACCCATCAAGTAAGAGAGCCTCAGAGTGTTCATCTATCACAGACCATCAACCTCACAGCTCCAGCATGGATCGACGTCATCAGGCTTCCACCTTGGAGCGCCAGCAGAAAGGAGCCAATACCCCAACCCCCACAGGCAGCCTAAACAAGCGACGGCAAAATTCTCTGGACAGTCCCAGCATGCATAGAAATCCTTTAAGAAAGCTGAGTGGGTCATCTACAGGTCATGGTGCAAATGGAGAGGGTCACCGTAGCAACAGCCCTGAGCTGCCAGCTGTGCATTTCTTCAATGCCAAAATGCAACAGCCCCGGCCAGCATCTATCCAGGTGCAAAACGCAATGTTTGACAGTTTGAAGTCACACCCTGTGGGTACAAGTCCAGTAAGTCCAACAAGCCCAAAGTCCACCGTGTCGGAGGGTGCCCGAGCTGTGAAGACGATGGCTAGCCCCACGACAACCCGCAGCCATATGGCCTCTGTGCAGCCACTGAGGAAAACGCACTCTGAGCCAATCTGCAAACCCCCACCTACCCCTGGGTCATACAGCTCACATTTCTCCAGGCAAAGCCAGTCTCCTGTTTATCGCTGTATATCACCACCTCTGAAATCACAACTGAAAAAAGTGTCAGAAGATGAAGTATTGGAAGATCCTGTATTCTTCAACTCAGTAGATTCAACAAGTCCTGGGAATGAATACCAGCATGCGAAAACCATACCACAGGGTGACAGGCGATATAATGCAATGGAAGAAAATATTTATGATTCGTTATCAGACTGCATCAGCCGACCTCCACCCCCTCCTCCTGCTCCCCCATCCTGTGGGAACTCACCAACAAACAGTGAAGATAAGTTTGTGACAGGGACTTACAGAGAGCCAATAGACAGGTGCCACTCAGCAACACCATCCCAAAGAAGTAACGCATCCTCTGACAAGACAGTCATTATTAGAGATGATGTATCAGAGAGGTCACAGCAACGGGATCAATCGAAGCAGAATTCAAAGGTGCTGGTTGACATTCGGAGGTCATCGTCATCAGGCTCCAAAGAGAGCAATAGCACATCCTCAGCATCCACTGTGACCCCAACCATGGGTTTAGTAGCCAGCATTGATGGTAAGAACATGTCCTTACTTCCCGTGGCAGGGGATGGGGCAAGAAGATTACCATCGGCAGAGAAAGGAAATGTTGACCGTCGAGCTGTGGTAAGCTCTATAGATTCAGACTTAAAGCCAGCTAACTTTATGAGGAATGGCCTGAACAATTTTTCTGGAGACAATGGCCATCAACATCACAACCACAGAGAATTTAGAAAATCGTACCCTTCTGTGCCTCTTCACAAGCCTCCATATCTTTCTCCTCCCAGACAGAGAAAGGAAGCTTTTAACATGAACTTTGTGTCTGATGATGAAAAAGATTCAGTCTCATCACGGCCATACAGTGACCATTCTTCCATTGTGTTCCTCAATCCCATTGAACTGAAACCTTCAAAGAATGCATTGATTCGTCAGCTCCCATTCCAAGAAGGAAAGCAAAATGTGCTGAGCTATGTGTTCACCTCTCCTTACAGCACGCTGGACAGATTTAAATCTCGCTCGAGCGATACAATCAACAGTATACCACGCTGTCCACCAACTCCCAAATTCCCAATACCTGAAGCTTCACCCTCTCTGACACAGCTGCTTCAGGAGCTGACAGATGAGACAGATCCAACTTTAGATTATTTCGAGCGTTTGCGAGGTCAGCTAGGCCCATCTGATGGAGTTGATGATATCCCACCACGCTCTCCAGAGAGCAAAGCTCGTGCTCGACGTTCACGCATCACAGATGGCAATGACAACAAAGTAATGGCACCATCCCCTCGATCCAACACAAAGCCATCTTCTCAACGGTTGTCAATCAACCCGTTTCAAATCAAACGACGTCAGGCTCATGGCATCCCACCCCGCCACTGTCGCAGTCTGGACTACATTCCGAGTGATCGCGATGACAACATGACATCATCACCCGTATCTTCCGCTTGTGGCAGCCCAGGTACTCGACACGCTTACCTGATGCCCCTCATTTTTGGAGCCCAGAGTGCGGCATCTCGAGCGGAGCACACCAGCTTGTCCTCACTAGCCAGCAGCAGCGAAATGTCCCGCTCTGACCCTCATGTCAACGCCGACTCCGGCTCTGCTGCGTATGAGTCAGAATACGACAACTACAGACCTGGCATGACCAGTGACGAGGACTTTTTTGTCCCAGACCCCATCAGCGATGTGGACATGGAAATGTTTGATGACGTCAATGTAGACAATGTGACAGTTAGTGACAGTTTCAGTCTGGATATGCCGGTTCCCAGATTTCAGAAAAAGATCACAGAGGTATAACTTCTGGCAACTCTTGTACAAACTTGTTTCATTATGCAATCAACATATAAGTTATGGTCATGCCAGGAGTGAATGTTGCAGGATTATCCCAAGGGTACTAGAGCAGTCAAAGCTAATTTTGACTGCACATGATTCTGGGAAATATAAATAGCACTTCTCACAATCACAAGCATATTTTATATATATATATATATATATATATATATATATATATATGTTATATACTTAGAAATATATATATATATATGTTATATCAATTTTATGTATAGCAATATCCTTGGGGAAAAGTTTGCAAATGACATAAGTTAAAACCAAGCTGTTTTGGATTATTTTCTTGTAAAGACAGATTTTTCTTTGTTTTATTAGGCGCCTTGGGAGGCACTTTCAAGTTTCTCATGATGTGCATGCTGAGAGGGCTTGTGAACTCCTGCATATTTGTCTAGCATATGAATATCTGAGTCAAAAGACTTTGTCATGCTGAATGTTTTCACATTTCATTCAAATTTGATTACGCATTTGAAGTAATATATTCTTCAACTCTATGATGTGCAGTGGCTACTTTTAGCATTTTCTGTCAAGGATTTCAACATAGTGTAACTTTTCGTCACAAACCATGTACCTACACCCTTCTTTCAAGGTAGTTACGAGGTTTGAGATTAAAGACCAACAATCTGAATAGCTTTTCTGGCATGACTGTTCACAAACTTTTCTCTTAAATTTAAATTTGTTCTTAGATGCAATATTGTACATTTAATAGAAATTATTGCCTTCAGTACAGTGTTGTTCTTCATTTATTATCCTGCGTCTGATATTCTGCTTTTTCACCGTCTTCAACACATACAAAACTGTCTGTGGTCTTTCTACTTTAAAGTCAGGCGAACGGCTATCTTCTACTTACTGCTAGTTCAGAGTTAAAGAACAACTGAGCAATGTATGAATGATCAGTTCTCATTACCAAAATATTTTCTGGACTTCTTGCTGCTTCACTTGAATAAGTGCCTACAAACAGGGACTCTCATTACTCTCAATTCTATACTCACAGAACAGTAATAAAAAAATTCTCAAGACCAAGCCTCTCCAAAAGCAAAAAAGTGGCTACCCAGGCCAAAGCCTGTTTATTGGTAACTTTCGACTGTTTTCTCCTTTCATTTCACATCTTGGGTTTTCCCCAGCACAGAGATGAAAACACTATGAAGAAAAAATTCTTAATATTTTAGACCCCATGAACATGTGCATCCAGGGACTTCGTATGTACACATTATTTTCAAGGTCTTGAACATCAAGCTCTCACTGGCAAAATTAAAGGCAAATGAGAAAGGGGCAGGCCCAGAACACCTACCTTGGGAACCAAAACAAATGGGTAATGGGGGAAAATCAGGGTAATGTAGCTCTTTAAGAGCTACGGAGCAAAGGAATGAAAGGAGAACTATGATCGCCGATGTCTGCTGCAGATCTGGCACTGGATGATGATGGTGATGATTTTCAAGGTAGACACACATTGGAAGAATATGAAAGAACAGTTGAAATTGTCCAAGATGGCCACTTATTGTTGAGGAGAAAAGTGGTTGTCTTTGGAGGACGTCTTGGACAATGTCATTATAATAAAAAGAAAATGCAAGGGGGCAAGTGGGAAGTGGTTGTACTATGTACATGTGATTGTCTTGGACAAGTGGCTGTCTAAGCGGGTTTGATGTACATGTAAGAGTAGTACTATCTCCCCTAAAGAGATTTCAACATTTTCAACCACCTGTCCATAATACTTTTGTGGTGACCTTATTTAGGCCACACTGTGGCCTAAATAAGCTAAACCCCCCTCCCTTACCTTATTTAGGCCACACTGAGGCCCAAATAAGCTAAACCCCCCTCCCTTACCTTATTTAGGCCATATGTGGCCTAAATAAGCACTCCCAATACTTTTTTGGTGACAAACATTAGAAAGCTATGATACAGGTTTTTATCAAAATTAAATGAGGTTATGTGCTTATTGAGTCAGACAACGGACCTAAATTTTAGGTAAACTGAAACAAGGGTAAGAGCAAACATTTAACAATAATAAGGAGATGCTACATCCCCCCTCACCTCCACTCCCTCTTCCCCCAAAGGAACTACTTCATCGCTCCTGTCACTGCATCTCTAGCCCTTGACATCACAAGTGCTCAAACTGGTAGCACACATCACACATTTATTATTTAATCCTTTTCAGCCCACATCTCCTGAGTGTAGAGGATCTGGATATCTATGCCCCTTTCTGTTTACTGCAGGAACAATACCACTGCACATTGAGGTTTGCTTTTGGTGTCAAGAAGAATAAGGTCATGCTCGGGCAGGCCGGTGCTCAGATCTATTGTGTTAATTAATAAACCAGTTTTTGAAAGCGTGAGCCTCAGACTTCTCGAATTAGATGCTGGTACATTTGATGTCTGCTGGTGACTGCAATGATGGAGACAAAGAGTCCTCAAGCTTCCATCATTGGTGTTCCACATACTACAGTGCAGTAAAACATTTGTGGTGCAACTTATTCTCAAATATTTCTAAACCTTATCCGTTCACCCTTGGGTATTTTTGTACCACCGGGGTTGTATTCTTCACGTTTTAGAATACTTCTAGTACGAGGGTCTCTTTGAAACTTTGAGTATTTCTCAAAAAATCATTTTCACAGACTATATGCAAAGCGTACTGATCAGATTGACGAGTAAATTTCTTCTTCGGAAAGTGGTGGCACAGAGTTCCCCACGTCGTGTGGATACGATAGTAAAACATGACGTACGGATAGGGTTTAACAGGTGAATCAATGTCACATATACTTTGCACAGCTGTTTGTATCAATTTGTCTTGACTTAGTCATATTTTTCCACAATAACTGAGGGTAGATTAAAAAACTTTTATTCACATCCCACTTCTCACACACATTTTGCTGACGTAAATGGCACATGTCACTGCTCACTAATGACACTTTTAGTGGTGAAACTTTAGTCCAAGCATAAATGTAATCTCCTGTTAAATGACAAGTGAAATTATAAAGAAATTCTTCTCTCCTACTCTGTAATTAGTCTGATGAGGAGCAGCAAGATGGTGAGGCAGAATCGTAGATGGGTATTGAAATACAAAAGTGCTTTGGTCAGATGTGGTTATTCTTGACTTTATTAGGTACCATTAAGAATAAGAATGTGTGATTCTTCAATCTTCACAGATTATCACAAATAACTCTCAATATAAGTATATAACTTATGAGTAAAAGCGATTCACTTGGTACCAGTGTGTTTTGGTTTCAAAATTAAAATGTAATCATCCGTGGTTGCAAATATGGAGTCGAAAAAACTTCACAAATTTCGTACTGCACGTTTAACTATTACCAAAAAATTAATTTGATAGTGAACACGTTATTTGCACTAAATGTTCTCAAAACATGTTCAATTAGCATAGTGTTGTGAATAGAAGAAAGGACAGATATGCTTTTAAACATGCTATTGTCCCAGCTTATAGGATATAAATCTTTTAAAATTTTATCTTCAGGAACCACCCAGTGGGATTTTTTTTTGTATTTGCGAAGGAATTTTGTAGAATATAGCGAACAGGTGATTACTAAAATATCGATCTGTTGAGACAAATGAAACATAAGTGCAAAAGTTGGAGGGTCTATGTTCAATAGTTGAGGAGATATTTAGTTGCGCCACAAATTTTTTACCGCCCTATAACTGCTTCATAGGTCAACTTGACACCCCGATTCCCAGTACCACAACCTAGTTCTCTAGGGTGGCTAAAGAAGTTGACTATGTAAGGACTCATTGTAATCAAAGAACCCTACTGCAAACCCTTTGATGTGTTGAAAAGGAAAGTCTTTAACCAGAGAGACCACTGAGCTTTTAGTTTTGACGAAAAACCCGCAATTAACTCACACTGACTCACAGAACTTCTTTGTCAACAGGGAACCTTTATTATTGTGACAACAATGCAGTCATTCCAATATGATGTATTCATTCTATTTCTTGGACAATCATAATCATGTGTAGGGATCAGATGAGATTAAATACAATATACAGCTGCTACAGAACTAACAAGAAAGTTAGTACATATGGCTGCTAAGGAACTGACCAGACATTCAACTGTGATGAATAACATGGTGATGATGGGAATCCTGCGACAGCATTGACACAAGCTCTGTCAACAACCTCCGACACAAACAACAAGACACTCCTCCTCTCACTAGCACAGTCTTAACTCACAGTATGAGGTAATCCTCACTCACATTACAAAAGTTACAACCCTACCTAACATAACACAACAGACTGAAGTCACATTCACACTGAGGCTTCGAAGACCATCCATGAGGCACTAACAACATTGGAACACATTTGCCACAGGAAAAAAACGCCAAGCGCAACATGAAAAAATTGAATCTTATAAATTCATAGAAAACAATGGGATTGTAAAACATCAAACAACGCAACAAATTTGGGAAATTCAGTAGATGGATTTACTTGCACTATTGGTAACTTGTTGATAACATTTGAGATTTAACTCTTTCACTGTCAGCTGTATAGTATAGCACTTCAATAAAAAAAATCATTTCCCAATTTCGACGACCAGAAAGTACCGGTATATCATACTTTTAGCATCTATCCGAGCCACACACCCAAGCACTCCAACGGTTGACAAATGACATTGAGCAAGAACATATAACCGGCATCTTTAGCAAAATGATATGCACCTATTACTGCTGTGGAGAATTGTTACTGAATGACACGCAAGTTTCACTGTTGTTTTGCTTTTGGGACACATAAGACACTGGTCTTTATCATCTGTGCAGTAGACGACCTAGGGGAGCTATACAGACCTGCAAGATTCCCAAAATGTTTAAGATGACCACCACAAAAACCCATAACATCAGGTCCATCAAGACAGACATGATAGAAAGTCACACAAGATTGATTAAGGTCTTGATTAAAGAACATCTAATAATTACAGAATACCAAAAATATCCTGAAGAATGGCACCCCCTAAGCATCAAGACTCACAGATCTGACTGCCCAAGATATTCTCAATAAAGGCAATCTCTAATGTATTTTACAAATGCTGACAAAATTGATTACAGTTATGGAAAAAATGCAGTCTTACAAAGTCATTCTTAACATTTGAACTTCATTTTCTTTCAATAAAAGCTGTCTTCAGTACAGTCAGACACATAGTAGGCTACATGTATAATTAATATATATCCCTCACTATTTACAAGACAAAAATGCAGAGTTGAACTAATACCTGAAAAGAACTTTCAGTTAAACATTCTGGAAGACTAGGTTCAGTCTATGTAAGTCATGCACAACTAAAACCAATTAAGCCAGAAAAGAGCTAAAAGAAAATGTCAACATTCCACAAGAAAATAAGTTAGCGCCTCATAATCAAAGGCTGCAAGGGACTTCTTTCTTTTGTTTGAGTAAAGCGCGGAACAAATAAAATTTAAGGAAGTCTTACACAGGATGAAAAAGAAAAAATTCCAAGATTTATGCATTAAGAGTCTGTAGCCAAGCCAACAGACAAAATGGAATGCAGAGGCAGACTCCACCTCCAGCGCAACTTGGTGGCAAGTCAATTTCGTGTGAAAATGCAAACACTTTAAAAAATCTCAACCCAGAGGCCCTAAACGAGATACTGTGAGAAGATGGCCAAAGTTTCAAAGACAAAAAAAGAGAAACGGCAAGAACTTGCAAAAGACGGAACATACTCTTTTAGGAATATAGTACGAAGATCAGCATCAGAAAGACTGAGACAATAAAGGTTGGCAGTACACTTGGCAACCTCAACTTCAGCATAACTTCACTAAAGCAAGTCGCTGAGTATCTCGGTAGCATCTGCACAGAAGACGGACATCATCTCGACAAAGAGATCAAGACAAACATCCAGAAAGCCATCAGCATCATCTACCAACTAGCCTCACTCGTCACACATTCCAACATCACCAGTCAGACTTAAGTCAAATCTTCACACCAGAGTCAGACAGTGGCGATCATAAAAAGCCTGAAAAACAAGATTATCCCCTGACTGCATGATGCAATTTTTTAAAGAAAAATTGTCAAAAAGACCTGACCTGACATCATCAAACAAGATCAGAAAAACCAGGAGTGCAACACAAAAGCACTACTACATCCAACGGTGGAAAACTGAATAGTATAGACATCTGATTCATAAGGCATACAACAAGAAGATGAAGAGGGTGTGAGAGTAAAACCCAAAGAATACCAGAAACAAGGGCTAGAAAGAGACCCTGAGGACCTTAAGCATCCCACTGCATCAGGCCTTCCAACATTTACAGACTGCCAGTGTTCTCTCAACTCAACAGCACAAGATGGTGCAAGATGAAGGATGGTAAATAAAGTCAAGTCAAATAAAGTAAGCAAGCATCTGGCCAAAGAAAGTTCAACGTCTATATTCAAGAGCCAACACCAGGACAGTGGGCAGGTGAGGTGCTCATGTACCAATATATCGCCACAATGTTAAAGTTAAAGACTCCAAACATGGCGCGATCAAACTAGGGAATTCATTATGTATAAAGATAAAATGTTTTACCAATTCAGCAGCCATAATACAGTGTCAAAGATTTTCATCTCATTTTAAAGTACTTGCATATATAAAAAGACAGGGTTACACATGAAATATGGCTTATAAAAGTAAATTACGGACATCACTCGCCTCCATGCCCAATTTATCTTTTTAAAATCTTCATTCAGGAATGGCTGTCTTTTTTATCAATTCAACCATGTCCCTTTTTTCTGATAACATGTGTCACTGTGGTAGTAATTGAAATACGATATGACAAATATACTGAAAACATATATGTCTAGCACACAACAGAATAGCACTCACTGACACCCAACAGGAATCAACACTTTAAAAATTCAAACTTCATCCAAAACAAAATACATGATTAAATAAAAATTCCACTGGCTTCAATAATATATAGCGGCACTGAAGAAAAGAATACCTTCTGTTTTAAGCATCTAAAGATCTTACACACATTGGTTTTCAAGCTTCAGAATATCTAATATGTGGCACTTCAGGAATATTCATATGAAAAACAAAGTACAATGTTTGGAAACAGGTAATACGGTCGACTACAGATGAGTTTATGTCATCAAGGGAGTGAAAGAACTCAAGAGAAGTTCAACTTAACCGTTGGGACCCAAGAAAAAGATCAATTTAACTGAAGATCAACTCAAGTGAGTTCAACACAAACCCCCTGTATATTCCTTTAACATGAGAATTTAAATCATAAAGGTAGAAAGAAGGAAAGGTTTGCTGTTCAATGAGAAACTCCCCAAAACAATAAGCCTAAAACACGCACACAAACAATACAGTGCTTTGCAAACATTATACAGACATAAAATTCAATAATAAAAAAACAGAAAATGCTTCCAAAGTCAAATGAATAAATAGGAGTAAACCAACATGCTCTTAAAATTGGTTCAGAAAATGTAAACCCCATCGTCATTAGTAAATCAACAGGTGTATAGCTTATATCCTGGTACTCCTGTACCAAGCAAAACTTTCACCCACATTTTGAAGATATGGAGAAGAAAGTACAGAATGAGAGTGCAGCTATCTCCTTTTGTTGTTTCTACGAGACAAAACTTCCCACTTCTTACATTCATATTCTCATAGTAAGGTCACTTCTGTGAGCAACTATTCTTTCTTTCGTTCCAAACTTCAGCTGTACTATCATACATACTATTACTATCATGTTCTAAAGCAACAAAGCTTTGCCATATCTAATCAATTAAAAGATGCTGTTCTGCAGATGATCTCAACTCTGCTCAAAACTACATAATAATACCTGAGCTTTAAAAGTTTTGGCTCCTTCACTCCCAAAGTCTTTGGCTTATTTTCATTTTAAAAAACAGTACACGCATACAGTACAGCAATAAATTATTTCTTTCTGTAGTTTACCAAACTGCAAAGGTAGCTGAAGACAGTAAAGTTTTGACAACAAATCTCATTGAAAGAATAAAACAACGCAGTCTCATCTCAAAAGAATTGAAGAACCCAAGTGTAAAACTTTACACATGAAGTCATTGCACTCACAGTTGAACAGTTCCTTTCGACACAACACCCTATCGGTCAGTGGCATAAATAATGAGTGAGTTTTAATATTACAAACTTCATTGATTGATTGATGTTTAAAAAGAAATATACATCAAACATTGTAGCTATCTAACTGTGTAGCAGATATTTTGAGTTTCCAAAAGTGTTTTACTGCTGCAAAACACACGTGAAGACATAAAACCTTCTGACAGTTACTGTTTTGATAATCAGAGTACGGCAATTGTTTATGTAGTAATGATAGGATGCTGAAAAAAGCCTATGACAAAATGTAATGGAAATCAGAATCACACTATTTACTACTACGACTTATCAAAATAATACTATTCTCAACAGCAACACATCATTATGTAAAACATCAGGTGAACATGGCAAGCAGAAAAACCCCCCACTAACCTAGTCAGATATCAAAAGATATCTGTCCTCTGACAATGTTTAAACTGATGGGTGATGGCAAAAATTGAATTTAAGGAGAAAAAATTAAAATCCTGTAACTTATATACTGCAATTGAAAGACAGTACATCATAGGCATACTTCTAGCTTTCATTGCAAACTGCTGACTATATCTGAGCTTACTCTATCCTCTCAGATAAATAGACTAAATACTGAACGAAAGATCTCAACACTGCACTTCAGAAACACAAAAAGTATGAGTAAAATATTAATCTCTTTCACACCGAGTTACAACAAAAATGGAGAAAGTGGGGCAGGCTGGTTACACAGGTCTGGGAGATACATACCTATGTGCGTGATAAAAAAATTTAGCAGAGCTACAGAAACAGAATGAAACAGTCTCTACAGCCAAAGAAACCATATTGTGATGTTTTGAAATCTCCAGCACAAACATGAAGGCCTACATGAGAGAACCTCAAAGCACATACAGCCTCTATCCGGCATTCACAGCTTGAATAATAGTGCAGTATAATATAGAACACACGAGCGACTTCTTTGATATGCAAGGAGAACAAATACTTTCAATATGCATACACACAATGTTAATGTAATAGTGTCGGTGACACACTCCTTGTAAGTTTTATAAGGCTTCATTCTACAGCATTTTCATACTCATTTGACTGCAGTTAAGATAGCTGTACTCTCAAATTACTGCTGGTGTTTCCACAACCTTCATAACCATTCTGAGCTACAGCTTAGCTAATGCTTCTTTTTTTAAAAACTGACTTACCTACGCCACTTTAGTCAATGCAAAAATATAAACTTTGAAATTCATACACAAATGGGAAAAATGGGCAATTCAATTCTTAGGCTTGTAAGAACACACCTCCAGCCTTAGTAAAATCTTTTTCTGGAATTTTCTTGTTGTTTCTGGAAAATAATAATGCCAACCATGAAACAAACACCAACTCCAATAACAAGGAGGATGATGATTACAAGCAGTTTCCAACCAGTCAGGTTACCAAGGAGATATGACCCCTTGTTATCATCAACACGATCTGAAAAATACAAGATAGATATACAATAATTATTATCATAAAGTAAAATACAAAGACATCTAGTTATATCAAGACTCGTCATTACGGCAGTAAACATTCAACTTTATGATCCTAAAATACAGAGAGGGAAATAAAGCACTCCCAAAAAATTCTAAAACTCCCCACACAGATCAAATGCTTTGATTCCTTTAAACCATGCAAAAAACAAAGTATATTTCCCCCTTCAGATTTGAACGGACATTTTTTACTGAATTTGAAAAGAAAGGGTTGAATGAAAGGAAAACAAGCAGGCAGAAAAAACAAGGGGGCAAAGCATCAAGAACAGAACTGAGTTGTCTTTTCAAGAGTTTCAAGAGGGCAAAAAAATATTGTCGCAGACAGAAAAAATATCAGTGGGGCTGTAAAGATCTACTAGACGTGCACAATAAAAACAAAACATATGACGCGCATTTTACTACAGGTTCAGTCAATAACGAGAACATTTCGCCATGAATGAGCAGCAGGAGGAGAGGTACCACAGCTCCCATATGTACCAAACAGAAGATATTAGTTAAGTTTAGTTTTTTTAGTAAGGTTTTACGGCCCTCGCAACAGCACAAGGTCGTATGAGTGCCAAGGGGTGAATGTCAACAGACAAGTCCAAACAGGTAATCAGGCTTGCTCTGCTCACCTCTCAAGCCTCAACAGCGCAAAGTCTGCTTCGATTATCAAGGCATCCCAGATATAGCAGTTCACAAGAGAGTGACAAACATACAAAAGAAGTAGAGGAAAAATTACGATAGTAAGGATGAGGGAAGAAAAAGCAGCAGATCCCCCTATGTTGCTCTGGCACAGTATGAGCATACATTGATAAATCAGCCCATTTACAATTTTACTGTGCATAGGAACATGTTAATATCCCCCCCTTTGGAAATAGCTTAAAGACAGGCAATTTCAGTTAGTAGCACTGCCCTGGTGGGGAAAAACAGAAGATAATTGGATAAACTAGATGACTTATATGTAAAAAGCTTCGTAATCAACCCAGCAACCTATCGGATGCCTACTACTATGAAAGTTGAGAAACCATTTTTACTGATAGCAACAACACAAAAGAAAAGCTCAGGACTGATTGCCAGGAAGACAGAAATTACCTCTGGGGGCTTCCATTGCTGAAGCCTCAGGAAGACCAGTATACAACGGCGCCTTTGGACTCTGAGGAAAAGAAAACATGACATATATAACAATTCCCTCCTACACCATTCAAGCTTCACTCTAAAACATTTCATACAAAAAAAATTACACATACAACACAATTATCAATTGACAAAAGCACTCAAAAATGGACCCCTTTGTTTAGTTTTAGAAAGAGTTTTACAGTACTTGCAACACAATAAGCTCATATAATTGCCGGAGAGAATAGATGTGTTACAAGAGAGTAACATACACAAAAACGAAGGAGAGATAAGGACGATTAATGTTTGATAGGAAAGAAGGAACAAACCACACTAGAGCACCCTCTGAGCACCCACCAACCAACCACTAAAAATGGACTCCACAGCAAAAGACTATATATATATATGGAACAATCTCATATGAGTGACCAACCATAACAGCTTAGTCATACAAGGTACAGTATAAAGAAAAAATGTAACACTTTCCATCCACGCAGCGTGCAGAGTGCACAACCTTTGTCCCTACGTATGAGGATTTAGATGGGCTACATCAGTACTATACCTGTATTTTGGCAAAAATATCCCAACCATTATGAAATCTTCAGCATATTGAGAAAATTGAACGTGAAGATCACATGTTCACCAAAAAAAGGAATTAGAATCGGAAATAAAAACATTAGACGAAGAACATTCATCACCCAAATTCTCATCATGGCGTACGTCTAAAGCAGCGCTCATGCTATGTCTTCTCTAAATTTTTTCCAAAAAATTTACTCCAATTGTTGTAAACAAACTGATTTTTGACCTCAAAGGCCACACAAGCCATTACGAAAGGAAATTATAACCTTAACAAGAGCGCATGTCAAAAAGGAGATCATTGCTACAACATTTTTGTTGCCATATCACACCGTCGCAGATCGGCGTCCCATGGGGGCAAAAGTGTTATAAAGTGCAACAGTCAAAACGTGTGTGTGCCTAAAGAAAGGTACCAAAAGTCGGATTTTCACCATTTTGAGTTAAGGGTTGTAACTTATAGGAAATTCAAAACTAAACACAAAGGTCTTTGAATTTTTTAGATACCTCAAGTAGTTTTTAAATATTGCACATTTTTAGTTTTAGTATCAGTTTTACAGCACTTGCAACACAATAAGGTCATATAAGTGCCGTTGCACATTTTGCAAGGTAGGGTATAAAGATAGAATTTTGAGAAAACGAGCTTTTAAGTTTAATAAATGTGAGAACTCCTACAAACTTTTTAAAAAATGATCTCTTAAATGTATTGATTCATGGAAAATTCATGTCCAATTTGGCATTCAGTTGACACCAATAAATCCTGAATGGAATTCAAAGGTAAAACATAGCAGGGAAGAGTAAACGTGTTTCAAGAATATATCTTTTTAAAAGCAGTTTCCATTATTTGTATATATTATACCCTATCCTCAAAATAAAATATTTAGAAGTCAAATCAATGAAAACCCTTTGAGCACATTGTAAAAAATGCCATTTTGATCAAAAAAGCCATTTTTGTCATTATCAGCCTGTAGCTCGAAATGGTCTGGGGAGACTTTTGGTACCTTTCTCTAGGCGCACACACATATACTATTAGCAGGATACATTAGACCATGAAAAGAAGCATAAAGGTTTTTTTTATTTTACTACTGTTCATTTCTCCCAAACTTAAAATTAAAATACAGTGGAACCTGCCCTGACGACCACCTCTATAAGACGGCCACCTGTACAAACGGTCACTTTCCATTTCCCCCCTTGCGTTTTTTCTATATAATTTAACTGTGTAAAACGGGCACCTGTCCAACGCGGCCGTGGCCACCATAATTTAACACACAACCCCTATAATACTAAGCAATAATACCTGTCTGAGACGGTCACCTTAGTGACTCCATTAAGTTTTGTCTTAAATTGTGCATTGGCCCCTGGCGTTGTGGGCGAGCTGTCATAATTCAATCACCTGTCGTTGTTGTTAGGTAGTCCCTCCAACCGATCGTGTTGCGTAGGCCCCTCCCACTGTTGACCAATAGCTACCAATTTTCAGCTCCTGGTGAGGTAAGTGTGTGATCCCTCATAACCCATAAGCCCCGCCCAGAACTCATACACAAATCGTAAGTGAGATGAGTGGTTACTGTTTACCCAGTCTGTAACAAAGTAACGCAGGACGTCAACATGAACTTGTTACAGAAGCGTCCCTCGTTCTCCGAGTGGTGGCGACTCATGTGTTGTTTTAAAATGGCACTCGGTCTTCCTTGTCTGATACATTTCGTTTTATTATCACGATTGTGCAAAATCAGCGACTAAATAAAAATTACAAACGAAATACAAACCAACAGCAACAACACCAACAAAGACAACAACAATGGGGCTACTTTCGATTGGGGCCTCAGATGGGAATGGTTTGTTTTCTTTATCTTGATCAGTCCTGTCTAAGACGGCCACCTGTCTTATGCGGCCACTTTTCTCCTTGACAATGGGTGGCCGTCTTACACAGGTTTAACTGTATGTACTTTCTCAAATAACACAAAACAAAAAAACTTACTGAATCGTCATCATCAAGCTCATAAAATTTTACGGACATCACATCATGATTATCTGAAAAAAAAGGTAATTATGGAATGATAATGAATTAAAGAGCAGAAAATCTAGGGTTTCAGTAGAATAAGATCAGAAAAATAAATCATTTATATATATTATACAGAACTGTGGACTCAACAGGATGAAACAAGTTGGCACTTTTCCTAAAGGAAGGAACACGATATCTAAAAATATACAGATTTATTTCAGGGTGCTATACTCCAAGACCTTGTACGTTTTTCCAGTAAGATAAATTTCTACCTTCTGAACAAAGACAATGTATGGTAAAATATGAAATGTTTGAAAATTTTTTTTTTTCATAAATTGGGCCTTTTAACCGTGTCCATTTCTTCTATGGTAAGTACTTTACTCCTGTTGCATAAAAAAAGGGTCTTTAGAAACACAAATAACATACCACAATATTCAGAAAAGGAAAAGAAAAGAACACTGGAGATCTCTAGTTTTCAACGTATTCAGTTGATTTAAAATTGTTTCCGAAGAAGTGTGGAAATATTCTAGCAAGGAAAAAGTGAAGAAGGGAGGATGCAGAAATCTTTTCAAAATGTAAGAATTTTGCTATGTGAGTGTTTTAAAATACAAAGAAAAAAAATGCATAAGAAAATACTTGGGACCTGAAAATCTGGTCTGTATGTGCGAGTCTTAGTATGTAAACCCAAGGAAGAATTTTTAAAAACATTTAGGCCCTAATTTTTCAAAATTACCTGCTAAATCACCAGTGGCTGCAGACACACCAAAATAATAACCAACTGGAAGTTTGATGCCAGACACGGAAAAGCAATCTTTCCAACCACTTTTGTTATCTATGTCTGTTGAAACCTGTCTCGAGAGAAACAACAACATAACAAAAAACTAATTGCAGAGAAAATTGTGTTTCAAATACGATGAAGCAAAAATAATAACAAAAAGACCAACAGGTTACCACAGACAGAGTTTCATATAACCTTACAATATAAATGCATCAAGACAGACCTGAATCATTATAGCACAAATAACGTCCTCAACATGCAATACCACTTTAAAGAATATTTTCAATAAAAGTACCATGGTTAATATATGACCACAGTATCCGTCCAAGTGATGAGATTTTCGAACCAGTCAACAGAAAAAATAAAGTCTTAATACAATACATGAACTGCATTAGTAAAGACCATTGTAGTGTGCAAAGGAGGTCATCCTTACAAAACCATTGTTGTACATCCAGCTGACCAGGTGTAAATCTTTACTCTGTCATGAGCCTATTCAGCTGTAAGCAAAAGAACTACTGTTAGCCTCAGCCAACAAAACAATCTCACCACATGTGAGAAAGTGTGCGCAAACCCTAACTTGAGATCCAAATGTGGCCCTTCACAGAGTTTGAGTGCAGCTCACAAAAATTTTCAGCTTATTAAGAAAAGAAATACAAATCACAAAATGTTCTTTAGAATATTCACATTTTTCAAGATAGCTGAGCTTAAACTTGCTTTTGTAGTGTCACAGATATCGAAAGCCCTGTGTTACGATTACCTTGATGGATTCCTTCTCTTCAGGGGATAGTTTCCTCACAACAAATATATCATAATTGTATATTTCTAAGTTAGGTTAGCACACAAAGTCCAGTTTAAAGGTGTAGTCTTTAACTGTTCATGACCCAGTCCAAGCAGCCCCAAAACGGAAACTGTTTGCCCACCCCAGATTTAGAGTGCAACCTTCTATTTTTTCTACTTCTTACTTTTCAGGATGAAAAACAGTTTCAACACTCAATAGAAGAGCAGCTATGGACATTCCATTTGACTCCTGAGGGAGTAAAGTCGCTGAATACCAATGGTTCAATTTACTGATCAGAAATCTTTCTCTTTCTCCTTTCCACTTTCATTTCGTCTGTGTCTTCCAAAAACATCCACATCAATTTCTTGGGTTCTCAGATAAAGCTCTTGTTCAAATTTAAGGGGTATGTTTTATGAGAGTTCTGTTTTTATCACAACATTCATAGTTTTTAATTGAAAAAATATCACAGAAGCCCTTATTATAGTTACGATGTAGGCAATCTCTTTTTCTTTTCCTGAATTTTCTCAAAACTTAAAATAGATGACATTTGTGGAAAGAAGCCGAAGATTTATAGACAGCAAAACATTCAATCTGTTCTGAAGCAAAAGTCTGAGAAAGTCTTCACAACAATGCTTCAATGATAAAAGGATGTAACTTACAGTTAGTGTGTTGCGTTCATATCTGATGGAAACGTAGGTGTCATAGTCCTTGTTCCGGAATTGGGCCTCACATCCTGACAGCTGTGTGTGTGTCCCATCGGTGTCATGGTCATAAGTGAGGCTGCCATTGTTTAACATAGCAGAAATGTATGGGTGGTTATGCTGGGGAAAATAAGAAGACAGGATTTCAATGCAAGACCAAATAATCAGAAGTTTGTGAAAGACAAAAAATCTGTAAACAGAAGTTACTATATTGCAATGAAAAGCTTTAACTGAAGTCTAAATATGCCCAGACAAGTTATAATTCTATAGCATTCATACATTATACCACAAAGGTGAAGTCTTCCCACAGGCATTTCAATTACATGAATTTCAAAAATGAAAACTTAAAATCTTGAATCATAAAATCATATCCAGTTCTCAAAAACTTGTTCAATACATCATATACGTTCAGAAAATTAAGATTTAAAAAATTGTAGAGAAGGAGTAAAAGTAAGTAACAGTAAGCAAAAGTAACTCAGCTGTGCCACACACAGCCAACTTCTTTACTACAAGAAATTTTAATATATAACAACTTTGACCACACACTTCAAATTCTTACATGAGACTCAAAACCCCCAATCCATGACAAAGTTCAAGAAGTAAAAAAATACAACATTTGTATTATAACAGTATGCTCACATTGTGAGGGCCATTGTGGTTGCTGTAGGTGTCCATAAAAATGGCCAAGCCAGTGAAGGGATCTGCATTGCCAAACACATTTCCTGTGGACAAAAAGAACAGGACCTTTACAAATAGTATGCAAAAATCATTTTTCAATAAAAGAATTATATCAGTAAGTTTAACCAAAGATTTTTCTAATGATTTTCAACATTTAAAATCATGTAACTAACATTACTGAAAAGGGTGGGAGCAGAAAACAAGACATTTGCGAACAGGTAGTTACTTACTCTTTAAAACAAAAAGTGTTGACATTTAAATCATAGTCCTTAGTCAATTTATAAAAAAAGAAAAAAGATAATCTACCATTAGCATGAAAATATCTTATTTCTCACCAATTTTCATCCTCTCTTTGGTATACCAGACAGCAAAGCCATCCCCAAAAAGTGTCTTCCCACTGCCATGGACTTTGAACTGGATATGAATCTCCCAGTTTGGAACAAAGCATGGCTGTAGATAGACAACAAAGGAACATTAATGAGGAATCAAGCATGGCAGACAAAAAAAATCTAGAGCAATTAGTTAGGTCAAAGTTTTAAAAAAAGCAAACAATGAAAAGAAAATAATATATATTTTTGGTTCTTTCCTAAACAGAAACAGTATATTTTGGTACATTTAAAAGAAAAAGTAAAGTTGTTCCTGCATCCGATCCGGACACTTGGGATTGCCTTGTTAGTGACAAAAACTTCCTGGGCCTTCAGCATATTATGGAAGAGTGGCCTGTTCCTTTCCATGCCGCCTTTACTTTCCAAACTCAAAGTCAGGTACCCATTACTGCTGGGTGGGCAGGAGGGGAAACCTGTCTGAACTGAGCCTCGAACCCGGACTTTCCGCTTTGTACATTTAGAGAGGAAAAATAGAGTTTAACAGCATAACAAACCCCATAGTGGCTGGAAATGCAGGAGAAGCAATCACTTGTACATTTTATGAGCAGTGATAATACAGTGAAAGATGAGCAACACTTCAAGAGTCCTCTTTCAAAGACGCATCATTACTCTCAAACCTCTCCTATACATAAAGAGAAAAGAGAAAAATGATGTCCTCTAAACAATTACTCACAAAATTGAAACCCAAATCACAACTTGTTTTAGTAGAGGTTTTACGACGCTCGCAACTGCACAAGGTCATAAGAGCGCCAAGGGGTGGAAGTCAATAGAGAAGTCCTTAAAAGGTATTATACTTACTCTGCTCACCTCTCTAGCTTCAACAGCACAAAGCCTGCTTCGACTATCGAGGCACCCCGAAAATAGTGGGTCACTACAAGAGTGTGACAAACATACAAAAAGAAGTAGAAGAAAATGACGATAGTGATGATTAGGAAAGAAAAGGCAGCAGTTCCCAGTTGTAGTTCAGGCAAAGTTAAGAGCATGACATTGTTGGACCAGCCCATTTACAATTCTACTGTGCATTAGAACAAGGAATGTCCCCCCTTTGGAAAAGGCATAAAGACACTTCAGTAAGTGGCACTGCCCCTGGGGGTAAAAATGATTTCCTCGAACTTACCACATTGTTCCAAATAGCTCCAATCTTGCTCTGCCTGTCTGGAGTCAAGCGGATGTAGTTGTTTGTCACCATTGTGCTACCCATGAAGTCCCATTGAGGAACACCCATGCCAGAACCTACCGGGGCATAGAAATAGACAAAATTTGAGAAGAGCAGAAGAATGTTAACTCTGTGTAATGCATTGTAATGTGAAGCAATACAGCACAAACTAAAACACACACAATCAAAGAGTCACAGTCATAATAAAAAATGTTAATTGTTATTATTAAGAGAACAGGCATCGGGTCGGGAAATAGTGCTTTGTGTCGAATTTCTCCACCATTCTGTAACACATTCTTTTTTTCCAATAAGAAATATGGCCCTGTCATGTGACGAGAATCATCTTTTCCCTTTTGTCAAGGACCTCCAAATCTTACGTCCATTTCCAATATGATAACTCCACAAAATAAAAGTCCCGAATTTAAGTTCAAGACCACCCAGAGTCTGGGATTCGAACTTGGGCCATCTATTCTGTATTCCAGCCTCATACCAACTGAGCTAACGAAATTCTCTGGTCCTTAGCTCTTAGGGTATTTTTGTACTTTCAACATTATTTCATGCTCAGAGTTTACAAAGCCTTTTTCATGTTCATTTTTATCCATTTTACACAAATTTGACTTTATTATATTCGTAGCAAATTAGTAGTTTTTTAACTTTGATGGTTTCTAGAACTATTCAAACTAATATCTGGGCTTTGGACCAATCAGGTGGTTCTGGGGGACATGCCCCCCAGAGGAAAAAAATCTGGGGGTTACAGGGGGGGCATGCCTCCTTTTTTATCCCCATAATTTGATGCTTTGCAAATTAGGTTTGAAATTTTGAAATTTCCTTGAAAATAATTGATTGCGAGTATTAGTAGCCACATATATATCGCGACCTCAGTGATTTCTTGTCGTACCTCCATTTTTTGAACAGTGAAAATGTGACATCTTCTTCAGCTCCCTCTTTGTTACAAATTGTTGCAACTGTTATTAAAAAGGAATGATACGACAAGAAAGCACTGGGGTCACGATTTGTGTGATCTGCAGGAAAAATTACTAGTTTGAACCCCAAAAGCAAGCAGTGCATTTGTGGGAGTGGAAGTAAAAATTTACCCTCTCAGTAGACCTACAGTAATATTGCAGAGAGAGGACCCGTCTTCTGTTGACTGTTAGGCTGATGTTTTTGGGCTCAGAGGCTTGCCCCTCTGATTTAATAAAAATATAAATTTTCAGAGGATTTCAGGGGGGGGGGGGGAGAGAGAAGGTGGGTGTATCACTCAGTGATTTTCTCACATCATATACATGTGTTTTTCAAGCACGATTTGAACACATGACCCTCAAAACCAACAGCGGGACCTGCCCATTTATTTTCTCACATTTAGGTTGATTTGGATAGTCTAAATAGTTAAAATGTTCCAAGTACACCAAAAATATAATGAGAAAAATCACAGATTTACACTCTAATTTAGGACTTACGAGGGTGTCTCTTCTTTAATGAACAACGCGACGTCGCATCCAGCGCAGTCCTTTCCGCTCCAAAATTCAATATCAATGAAGTAAGATTATAAATAATGAACAACCCGTCTCCTTTTAGTTTTAGACCAGCTTTTTTTCGGACTCGAGTCCAAATATGGGATTTATCTATTCGGACTCGGGTCCGAAAAAATGTCTTATTTATTTGGACTTAGCTTCTAAATGAGTTATATGTGAATGTAAGGAGGTTACATAATATAACTGTTGTCGGGGGATTTTACGTAAAACCAGAATTAGAACTAGAATTATCTACTAGGACTGTGTAATTGTGTCAAAAGTCAAAAGACTGCACTCTCATTGCCCAATTGAAGTTTCTAAGTACACGGTAACCGACAACTCAGAGTCTTTCTACCACCACTACAGCATCATCTTTACTTCCACCACCATCTGTCTTTCCACATTTAATTTCATTTTGTTGTGTGTTGCAGTTTTTCTGTAATTAATTTTTCTTTAAATCACATTGCACAAAATGGACAGCCGTGGCCTCTTCCAACAGCAAGCTGCGAGTGCATGATCGCTATGCGCAGTCTCATTGGTCAACATTTAACTTTGCACGAGCAAGGTCAACTATACTTGGTTCTTGTTCTGTTCATACTAATGATTAAGGGAGGGCCAGTTTAGATAGATCTAGTAACTGGAAGCTCACATCTCGATTATTATTATACAGTAGTCTCCGCCTAAGATCCCGGTGCTCGGGAGCAAGGAAATGCGGGATCTTAGGCGAACCGGGATCTTAACCGACGGACCCAGGGAAGAATCTATGGTGACCCATGCTAAGGCTCACTATCTGTAAAATGGTCTCCCTCCACTCTAAAATGAACTGACGTGACCGTTTGTTGGGTTTATGACGTATGGCGAGCAAAGAGTGGTTAACCTTGATGGCCTATCACAGTGCATAGTGGGATGGGGCGTGCCATTTTCCCTTATTATCCTATCATGAGTCTCAAGATCTATGCTTATCCAGTTGCCCCTCCCCCTTACCTGTCGAAAATTTATAGCTTTCCATCTCTGACTGAGCCCCCCCCACAACCGCCTTTGTTGTTACACACACAATTACGTTGTGAACACACCAATTAAAATTCAGTCTGTCTCGCTAATTCGGGAGTAGACACACCCTCTGCAATGGTCAGGGAAGAGTTCACAGTTCAATGTGATCCCGCCTGGAGCTAACGTGTAGGCCCTACCCACCCAGTGTGTGATGTAAGTTTAGGTGGAGAGCTCAGGTGTGAGTGCGATGTTCGGGGAAAACAAACGTGTCGGTCAGTTCACACCCCAGTGTGATCCCGTCTAGGGCAAACATTGTATCACTTCATCGAGTTTTACAACGTGTATGTGATCACATTCACGATAGTGGCTGATCTTTGATGCGACGGACAGTTTATTGATCTCAACTTTTCACACTTGGTTGATCGGCTGTCCCGCCCGGGTTTTTGTTCTGCAAATTATTATCTGAAATGCGGGATCTTAGCCGAATGTAGACCTTCAGAGTGAATCAGAGCGGGATCTTAGGGGTGACTTTTGTATTGTAAAAATTCTGTTCTCTTAAAACAGCGGGATCTTAAGCGAACCGGGATCGTAAGCGGTGGGATCTTAGGCAGAGACTACTGTAATCGAAACAATTTTCATAAATGCTGGAAATATTTAAGAACGAGGGTCGGAAGTCGGAACGGACGTCATGCTAGACTCAATTCAGAGGCCGAATATAATTTTTGTCTACTCAAGTCCGAATAGTCACTTTGTTAGTTTTTAAGCACATTGCAACGTCCAGCCACACGTAACCGTCGCCAACAACAGGGCCATGTAGGGATTGAGCCCTCGTTGAACGCGACAGACTGGAGATGCGACAGGTTTAAAGCATCACCATGACCCTTGCCATAGGTCAAAATACCTACTAAGTGACTAGTATTCGGACTCGAGTCTGAATAAAAATTATATTCGGACTCTGAATTGAGTCCAACATGACGAACGTTTCTACTTCTGACCCTTGTTTCTAAATATTTCCAGCATTTATGAAACTTTTTCAGATCATAAATATTATAATCGAGATGTGAGTCTTAATATCCAGTGACTAGATCTGCCTAAACTGGCCTTCCCTTCATCATTAATATGAACAGAACAACCGAGTTGAGTCGACCTTGCCGGGGGCAAAGTTAATTGTGTCGACCAATGAGACTGCGTAGCGATCACATGCCCTCGGCTTGCTGGGGAAGAGGTATTGGGAAAAAATAATTACAGAAAAACTATCACACAACAAAATAAAATTTAACATGTGGAAAGACAAATGGTGGTGGAATAATGAATAATGATGATGCTGCAGTGGTGGTGGAAAGTGAAAGACCCAGAGTTGTCGGTTACTCTGTACTTAGACACTGCCATTGGGCAATGTGAGTGCAGTCTTTTGACTTTGGACACAATCCTAGTCAGTAAATCTAACTCTAACTCTGGTATTACGTAAAATCCCCTTACGACAGTTATATATCTTACACTTACAAACTCATAAAATTTAGAAGCAGAGTCCGAATAGATGTTGTTGTTGTTTTCAAATCCCTTTAGCTGCGAGCATTTTCGCTCTTGGCAGCGCAATGCCTCCCTCAAGTAACCACATGTCCTTGTCATCTGGTCAACGCCAGAGTACAGCAGGCTTTGTAAGTCTGTAGGAGTGTAGGTATGTGTAGGAGCCTGCGTCGAAGAACTGCCAGGTTTGGGGCAGTGAAGGAGAAGATGTTCAACAACGGTCTCCTCGTGGTAGTCACAGTGTCTGCAATGGGGTTCCAACATGGGATTAATTCTGTTTGTGTGCTTGTTGGTGTGTAAGTGTCTTGTGCGGGATCTGAAGATCAAAGTCTGATCGGCTCTACATAAAAGATTCGCAGTGACTATTTTTACGGCGAGCCATAAAGATAGCCTCCAGGGCTATTTTTACGGCGGTCACAAACTGATGACGTTCTGTGCGTAGAACACGTTTTTCAGTCTTATAAATTCTGTCTTGGCTTGTAGGCCTAGTAGGCTAATACCTTATTTGTTATTTTATACATGTACTATTATGTACTACCTTTTACTAAATGACTAAACTAATGTAAGTGTAACATACTTTGAGCTGGTTAAAACCGAGAGTAAAGCACTATAATTAAATGTCCTCTATTATTAGTATTATCATAAATTATAGTCTTTATTCTGGACTTAAACAATTCAATGTTTTTTATGTTCTTTACTTGGACCTCTGCTTGGACCTTGTTGTTGAGGGATTCTTTCAAATAATAAAATAGAACGCATTTTTTAAGTTCTTGTGTTTTGTTTTCTGATGTGCTCATATTATTACTGTCCATTTTTACGGGGAACAGCTCACCCCAAGGGTGATTCTTTTTCCGATTCATATTTAGGAAAAAAAATTATACGGGCATAAGAAATAATGAAGAAAGTAAATTTTGATAAGTCCGAAAATATGAAAGTTGCCATGGAATGGAAACAGCACCAACATGCAAAACAAACAACAATTTTTTTTAAAAGAAGGCTTCTTACTCTCTAACAAACTTGCATGAAAATTGGTGGAATGGTAGATACAGATACTATGGTCAATCGTACTGAGCAAAATTTTGATATTTGAATGTAAAAAAAAAAATATATATATATATATATATATATATATATATATATATATATATTTGTGTGTTCCTGTACCCTGAAATTGCATCACAATAATTAATTAATTAATCATTGTGAACAAAAATAAAAATATTTTACACCTCTATCAAAAATCTGTTCAGTGCAAAGGAAGGAGGAACATTTTAAAGGCATTCCCAAGGCAAAAAGTGTTAATTCCAAAATGGCCACTCTTCTTGTGGGTGATGTAGTGATGTCGGTGAATGAGATGATGCTGGCAGTGGCAGTGATGATGGTAATAATAATGACGAGGAGGTGGTGATGGTGGTGATGATAAAGAGAGGGTGAATGATTATTGTGGGGGAAGAAGGAAGAGGTGGTAGTGGAGGAAGGGAGAACTCTAAGGAAGACGAAGAAGAGAACAGAATGATGGTGAAGAGGAGGAAATGGAAAACCTATGGGGCTGTTCAAATATAATCTTACACTTTTGGGGACTTTTTTAAAACACAAAACCCAAATACCACTTTTCTCACATTTGCCTCCAACCCCCACCAACGGCAATTTAATATTAGTACTTTTTCCGATCTTCAACTTCCATTATTATTTTAAAGATACCGGCCTGTACTATACGTGGCTTTTTTTAACCAGCTTGTAAAAAAAATATAATTTCAGTTAATACAATTTAATCAAACCATATGATAGAAAGAACGCATCACATATATATGTGGAAGACATTGAGACTCTTGTCAATGCAATAGGTACGTGCCTTACAAATAAAAGACATCAAGACATTAAAAGATCAACAAAACAGTTGCAAAGTTACAAAGAAACATTAAGAAATTAGATATCCACCTACAGAATTTTCATCATAATTTAAAAATTATTTGTAACCCCCCCCTCTTTAAAAAAAAACCGAAGTGGCTAGCCGTACTTAGATCTAGGTTTGGCCCTATCGACTCAAGCCTGTTAAGTACACAGGTCTCATTAGATCTAGATCTAGTAATTATTCAGGTTCAAATACATGCAAGTCAGTAAGGCACCTTTTGGTTTTGTCTGAAATACAAATACTTAAAGCACTGCAAACTAAAAATTTCATTTACAATTCAGCCATCAATATTAAGTACGGCTAGCCTGACAGTCTACCCGTACTTAAGTACGGCTAGACTGCCAGTCTAGCCGTACTTATCTTAGGCCCTATTAACATTAGAAAACAGGAGGTTTAAAATACATGCACTGTCATTAAGGCACCTGGTTTCGTCTCAAATACAAATACTTTAGGTACTGCACACTAAACATGTTATGTTTACAATTCAGTAGGCCTATTTTTTTGTAAATGGTCAGTCTAGACATCATATTAAGAATAAGTACGGCTAGACTGCGAGTCTAGCCGTACTTAAGTACGGCTAGACTGCCAGTCTAGCCGTCATTAAGTACGGCTAGCCTCTTCCAAAAAACCCCCCCCAAAAAACAGCAACGGGGATCTGCAGTGATCATGCAGATCTGGGTCTTGTTACTGGCATTTATAATCCACTTTTTCTTTTACCTTTTCTTCCCAGTCAGGAGCAAAACGTTCATCTCACAGAAGTGTCATATTTGGTTAACCTCCCCACCCAATCTTACACTTTTCTTACAGAAGCCAAAGACACCCTTTCCCCTCTGAGGTGTAAGTTTATATTTTGAATTTGAACGGCCCCTATAGGCCTAGATCTAATACATTCATTGAGGCATGTCGCGTACATGAGAGGCGGAGTAGGGTCGCTTTTCGAGGATCGCCGTAAAAATAGCCTGGGACTCACTGGGAGGCTGCTATCTTTACGGCACGCCGTAAAAATAGCCTGGGAGACTATCTTTACGGCTCGCCGTAAAAATAGCCACTGCGTAAAAGATTCGAAAGGTCTTTGGAGATAATTTATAAGGGAGTGTATACAGACCCGGTAACCGGGAACAAAGTCACAAAGTATACAGACCCGGTAGGGGAACTCTTTTGTGATTTCGGAAAGTTTCAGCGCCCTCTTGGCTCAGGGTAGACCTAGGTTCTTCTGGTAGATCTATGGCCTAGGCTAGGTCTAGATCTAGATCTAGACAGACAGACATAAATCCTTGGTCTAGTTTCGAGGCTAGCCTAGATCTAGATCTAGATCTAAATGAAGATTGCGGATGTCTTTTCGATGAACGATCGTTTTTCCTCCGTTTTAGAGTTGGAGGAATTACAATTTGAAGAAAAGAACAATGTCATAATTTCTCTCGAGCAGTCATCCCCTCTATTTCTCTCTCGCTCTGTTGCTCGCATTCTCTTTTTCTTTGTTTGTCTCTGTCTTTCTTTCTCCCCACCTATTTCCCACTAGACGTCTAGATCTATATATATCTCTCTCGTTCCCTCCTGCCAACTGGGGCATGTCATACATTTTGCTAGCACTTCCCCCTGCTCTCTCTCTTTCTCTCTCTCTCACACACACACACACACACACACACACACACACACACACACACACACACACACACACACGCACACGCACTACCGGGTCTGGGCGCTGAAACTTTCCGAAATCACAAAAGAGTTCCCTTACCGGGTCTGTATACTTCGTGACTTTGTTCCCGGTTACCGGGTCTGTATACACTTCGAATTTATAAAACATTCTTTTTGGCTTTGGACCCGAGTTCAAATAAATAAAACCTTCAGTCCGAATAGATAAAAAATCTAATCAGACTCGAGTCAGAAAAGAGCAGGCCCCTGCCCTAAACAAGGCCAATCACTCAGCGTCAGTCGACATGCCATACATACACATGTGAATGTATATTGTGCATAAATAAAGAAACACACCTCATAATTCATCACTAACAACACCCGGGCGCGACGCATCGCAACATCGCAATGCGCAGGAGACATAGATTTAGATCTAGTTCTGGAGATTTAAACATTTATTATAACTTATAACAAAGAAATTGTTAGGAGTAGGAGGGTTGGGGCAAAAACTACACAGACCACAGTTCAGTAGTTAGGCTAAGTAGTGACAAGTAGGCTAGATCTACCTTGGTACGGTTTCACTAAGCTGTGTTCTCGTCTTTGATAATCCTTGGTGTTCCATTCTCCTGCAACAAGAGCCAACAAAAATTGACACAGGATGATCCAGGTAGCTCTACGAGGCACGTGAACTGCCATTTTGACTTCTATAAATAACGGGACCTCACAAATCAAACAGAAAGCCACACAATATTGAACACAGTAAAATCGAGTCAGGGATATATTCCCAGATTTTTGCACTGGTTAAAATTCTGACTTAAGTTCTACGGCGGACGAGACTGACAAAGGATAAGATACTGTGCCAGTTTTGCACCCAAAAAAAAGTTATGGCACCGCGAAGTTACTTTGAAAGATATTAAATTGTAAGAATATTAGAATCTATTTTTGTGTGGAGTGACGTATCATTTCTAAAGCTAAATAATAATAATATTTTCTGAAAACTTTGAAAAGAATGGCAGATTTGAGTCTTCTTTGTAGAGTTCAAACCTGGATATATGACCGTATGCAGTTGCGAGCGCCGTAAAACCTCTACTAAAACTTTTAAAAAGCACCTGGACGTGTTTATAATTATCATCCGGCTTCAACAGTTCCACAAAAGATTCTCCCCTGCAGAATCGTTGGTTCCACAACCGCTAAATCTACCCTTCAGAAACAAACTAAGTTTTATAGATTTTTTTTGGTGCGAATTTAATTTAATCTCTTAAATAGCCCTCAATGCAAATTTTATTTCAAAGTTATTGTTAAACAATGTCAGGGAAGAGAAACAGAGAGAGAGGGAGAGAGAGAGAGAGAGAGAGAGAGAGAGAGAGAGAGAGAGAGAGAGAGAG